GTTATTTGTGAATAAAACCCGTCTGGATAAAAGCAGACTGACTGCTCGTAAAATATACGACAGGTCTGGACCACACGTGAATTTTGTTCGTATCTGAAAAAAATCGTAGAATACGAAAACATTGGTGAATGCCACAAATTGTCCTAAATCACTCGTACGCACAATTTAAGAACAAATCTGTGCGTACGAACGGTTCTTGCATGAGGCCCATTGTTTCTAGCATTTACACATATATTTAATTACACTATGATTGGGATAAAAACAGAACTATTTTATGACTTTTAAACTTGTGTATGATTCTAAKAAGATATGTGAGTGCCTTTATCCTCCCACAATGTCACAGCAGAGTGAAATTTTCATTTGGCTTTCACTTTGGAGCCCATTTGACTTTTTGCTCTCTCCACGGGGGAGAAACTACTTGCCAGCATGATGGAATAATTTAAGCACATTTTAACAGGACATTATATCCTTACTGAGATACTTTGGATTTGGGAGCTGCATGAAGGCATCATTTTTACCAGTTCTAAACAGGGCTTTTGACCCAAGTCCTCTGTCTTGGAGGTATTTCTCACAGAGACCAGTATGGTGCTGTCATCTGAGGTGTGCAAAAGATAGCAGATGACCCGTGTCCAAATACACAGGACACAGGCATGACACACACACACTATCAGGGTAATGTCATTTTCACGGACAAAAAACACACTGGGATGAGTGAGATTTAACTTTTTATCTTTTAAGCAGAGTAACAGAGGTTAAAACAGAGTAAAGGACATTAACACACAGCACACTGGGGGATGCATGCAGAGTTTAAGTTGAAGGATGGTAACAAAGACAATGTGGTCTTTTGTTTTTCTTCTAAATTTAAGCCATAAGCCACCTGACCTATAAATCATTCAGACATAAAAAGGTTCATAAACACAAGAGATGAAGTAGTTTTGCGTTGACACATAACTTAGCAGGAATCAATTTCAGCTTGTTTGTGTAGTCCCTTTTTTTAACCAGCAGCTTGTCACAAAGACATTTTTCCCATTTCTTTAGTCGAATCAATGAAAAATGCCCAAGTTAACACAGTTTGACAAGCAGAAAAAAGCATTCTAGCACCAACGAGCAAAAAAATGGGTACCGGTATACAATTGATGATCAAGGGAAGAATAAAATGTCTTTCAGGTCTGGTGTCAGGTCTTATTTTTTTTTTCTTTTTTCATAAAAACATGATTTTAAAGACACCATTTGCTGTAGGTAGATTTTTAAACCTAGCATTTCTGCATTTATCCTCTCCATATCCAATTGCCCTATTTATTAAATGCGTATGGAACAATGGTTGAATGTTTCATTTTTTTAATTTCACCTCCTAAATAAAAAAAAAAAAACATGTTTCTTACCCTGTCCTCCAGTCGGGCCACTTGATCTCGGTAGAAAGCATCCTGCTTCTTCAGATCTGCTTCCTTGGCCTGCAGTTTCTTGGCCTAACATGTACAGCAGACATACACACRAGAGGAAAATCTAGCTTTACCAAAATGATCACAATAACACTCTCATTTAGGGAATAAATACACACAACAAGGTATGTTGAGTTGAATGTGCATACATGTGCATTATCTCAAAGAAAAAGTGCCTGATCATGCCTTGACAGACTCTCTATGTCCTCTTCTATTTGCTCTTTAGCCAACTCCTCCTATCGGGCCATGAAGATAACATCACTTCTTGTTCCAAACAAGCTTTGTGTTCTGCTTTATATATTTACCTACCCTACCTATCTTCACTGTCCTCCGCTCTACTGTGACCTTGACTAAACGTACGACTGACTTTCTATGTGATATACAGGCTGGATAAGACTTGATATATCAGCCCTGACTGAGGAAAAAAAACACAWTCAAGGTGTGACTAAGGGCCAAATGCTAACCAAAACAATGTCATAGCTTTTTAAGAATCAACTACAAACTACAAAGTTCATGTTTGACGTTCAGTTTTTTATTACCTAAAACCAAAAAGCATTTTGAAAACAGATGAAAATGATTTGAAGAATGTTTAAAATATTACTAAGAGAGTACAAAAAATATAAGGCAAGAGATATAAGCAAAGCAAGACCTTACTTTTAACAATACGGCAATAAATATCCAATTAACACAATTTACTTCTCTAATTTGAAAGAAGTTGAAACTTTTAAAATTTATTAAAAGGGAGTAAAACACTGACAAATTAAAATGTGTCATGTATGTATAGTAAAGAAAATACTTAAGTAAGACCTAAGACAGACAGAAGCCTATTAAAAACTATACTCACCTTTAGTTCAAGTTCCTGAATAAGGAAAGCATTGAACATGAGATTTGGGTTGGGGGGGGGGGGGTGTAAAGCGATATAAATGTATTATTTTCATTCAAGTGACATTTGGGACAATTTAGTATTAAGAACCTAGCACATCTAGACTATATACTGTATGTGTTGTGCAGCTAAGAAGCATTGGTATATGCATTAATGTAATTAGAGTAACATATATCAGGTTACTGCAATAAATATTCATTAAGAAAACAGTCAAGTTATTAGCTTGAAGCTTTCTTTTTAAACACTCCAGAAAGTTAAAAAAAAAAGATCTAAAGAAAATATAATAATGGAGAGGGGAAAATGGTCTGGMCCTATTCAATCACTATCCTGATAACCATCTGTGTTCAGCTACTCAACACACTAGAGGCTAAACTGTATGCTCTGTGCATTGTGATGAGTCGCGGTGAGGAGTCCGAGAGGAGCTGTCCTCACAGAAGATGAGTGGGGGAAGTTTCAAAGTCAAGGGGATGCTCCAAGCTCCCCTACAAGATACAAAACCAAAACCCTCTCACAAAGTCAAACACCTTCTTTATGGTGTCAGAAACAGTAAATAAAACAACCTCCAGGGAAACACTATTATCCTCCTGACAATTCTCACAAAACAACACCAGGACCAAGGTGTTGCTGTCTCCGATGCCCTCAACCCAACCTTACGTACCTAATACTTTTGTGGTCAAGCTAGTATCTCTATTGTGTACTCTTACAGAGTTATAGTTTGGTAAGTGCAACACAAAAGCTAAAAGGTTGCTGCAGTGCAGAATGAGATCAAGTAAAATTTATTCCTAAATGACAGTCTTGGGTAAATGTGCCCTGAAGTATACCTATAAAAGAGTGCAGTTGCTACACTAGATAGGACTTGTGATTGATTCTGAGCCTGGCCTCCAGGATAAGATGAAAAAAGTTTTCAAGAGGCTGGCTTATGCTGTTGTTGCCAAAAAACTGTCTCCTACCAACAGCTCAATTTAGGTTGAAGAGACAAGGGATGATGGGAAACGGGAGATCATTGGCAAGGGGTTGGTATATTGTCACAAGTGCGTCTTAACAATGTTACACTGGTAGGTGGTGACTAAAGACTTTGGCTTTGCGAGGAAAGACAAAACATGCACCCATGTGCAAGGAGACAAACAACTGCTCAGGAACTGATCTGTGGCGCACAAATCATGACATGCACATGCAGCAGCTTGAGCAGCTGTACCCACAGAGAGCGGGCCGAGAGATAAATGTGTGCTGAAGGCGCGACTAAAGGGCTTATTAAAAGAGGAGAGGTTGCGACAGAAATGTGTACCAAGGGATTTTCTTTTTTCATTCACTTTTGTGAGGGTCTGCGTGAGTGTCTACATATGCATGCACCAGCGCTTGCGCTCATTTTCCATGTAGGCAGATTGGACCTCCTCTTCGACGACACACAGGCTCAGACACACACATTATGTCAGGATTACTTCTCACTGATTAGTCCCATTCAGCAGACTTTAAAGATAATCTAATCATACGATGGGTCAAACAATAGCTCGGGCTTCAGCACTGCCCATCCAGCTTTTGTTCCCCTAATAAGGAGGCGGTCACTGGTGAAGGGGAGCTTGGGTATGGGTTGGGGGTAGAAGAGGCAAAGAAAGGCAGAGTCAGACAAGAAACTGGAAGTGAACTTGAGAGAGCAGACAGACAATGAAAAGGAGAAAATAATGCATGAATGGAGGTGTCAAAAATAGAAAAGTGGCTCATTGATAAACATTGACAAAACTATCATAAGTTGTTGAAAAAATGGGAAACTAACTAACACCAGGGATTTAGAAGTTTACAGTTGTGAAACAATTTCATGAATTGCAGGTACTGTCCTAATAAACACACTAAACTTTTAGAACTCTTTAAATGCAACTTTAGAAGAGAGTCTGTTCACATCCAGCCCTACTGTGTTTCTGTGCATCAACCCCTGACTCACACTGAAAAATACCCCACTAAAAATACAAACCATTACAAAAAATCCAGCCCTCTGGAGCCAACACAAAACGGTTTCTATTTGCAGCCCAGGAGGCCACATTAACAGCAAACTTCTACATTCTGTCCATTTCTGCCCGTCTTTTCCCAAGTACAGTAGCATAATGGCTGAGGGTGACACGCGGTTGAAAGTGAGACCGCCGTGGTCAGATTAAACGAATCATTTAGGCTCGGTGATCGCCTCTGTGAATATCAATTAGCCAGCCGCTGAATAATTAAGGGACAACTATGTTTTTTAATTAGCTGACTGCCGCAGTCTGAGCTGGGTGCAGGGACGAAAAGGAGGAGGAGAAGCAGGGAGGAGCTGGGGAGAGGAAGGATGGAAGAGGGATGAGAACAGGTGGATTTTGCTGCATCAGCCCTCCTCCCCTTAACTCCCACCCACCGGCTGTTCTCTCACTGAATTGCTCCCATATAGACTATTTTCTTTCACCCACCTGCTTTTTTCATTTAAATTGTTCAGACATTTGCTTTTTTTTTCTTTTAAACCCTTCCAAGAGACTGAAATAAAAATAACTCTTATCTGTCAAAAGTATTGGATTCTGTACCTGCAGTATATGCATATAGCCTAGCTTTAGTGACTCTCTCTTGTAGAATAAAAACATTTGTATGAAATATCACACTCACATACTTGCATTATATATGCACAACTACAGTAAAATCTCAATGCACCAGACAAGTAAAAAAAAAAGCTATTTCTCGAAGAAGCTAATTTAATACAGTATAGTTGAGGTTAAACCAGCAACAGCATTTTTCCTGTGTACCTAGATACAACTTTGAGAATTTAAACTATTGTATATTTATTATATCAATAAAATCTATAATTCTAGACAAATACAATTTTGTATTATTCATCATGAGAAAAGCAGTTCTATACATAGCAAGATTTTTTTTTTACCACTTCACATCTCAATGATAAGGATTCTCTAATGTAATAAAATGTGAAAATTCTCTTTCACTGTGCCTGCTAGATGCTTATAAATCATGATAGGTGAAAATAATCCAGCAAGATGCTGAAATCTACTGAGCACAAATCAAATCTCATCACATTAACCATCTGCCCCTCATCCATAACCTTGGTCTCTTTTGTCTCCCCCATTCTGCAACCATCATCTCAGCCCTGATTCACCCCTGTCACAAGTGGCATCATAATCAATGCTCCCTTCACACTATCCAAGTCAGCGCTGCAGCACCGTGGGTCAGAGCTGCTCACCAGGGTCCATCTATCACATTCGTGTGCGACAGGAGTCTATGACAAACTAATACTGAAGCCGTGAGCTTCTAAGTTCTGCTCAATCCCACTGGCAGGGAGGAGGTCAAGGGGCAGCACAATGCGACCATGCTCTGGTGTTAATTAGCACAGTGGAGGTGGAGGTGAAATGAAGAAGGTTAGAGATGGATGGAGGGAGGGATGGAAAGATGCACAGGGTAGTGAGGATGAAACGGAGTAGAGGGATAACTCAATGTGTGAAAGGAATATGGATGGCATGGGAGCTTGAAGGAGAGTGGGCTTCTTCTTGCAGATGACACTGAATAACATGAGGTAGAATGTTATACATAGATATACATATATACACATATACACACACACACACACACATATATATATACACACACACACACACATAT